GTTTGAAAGGGTGTTAAATGAAAGTGTGATGATTAATGGTTTTTGTGTTAATGTAATAGCATTAAAACAGGACCGGTCAAATTTGACCGCGAACACCAAAGTAAGGGGGGGGAACACGAAGACAATAGGAGGTTAAACGTTCTAAATAAATATCGTCCCGTTAGGATTCATCGCTGAAATCTATGCTGGCGCTTTCTAGGAAATGATCAATAACAAGTCATAAACTAATTGCATGCATAGGGTGAACAACACTTAGCAGAGCAGCTTCACTTCTCCATGGGTTTCTTGTATATGTTAACATATTTATAACTGTGTTCGAGGATTTGAAAAAAAATTACAATTATTTTGAGTGATATTTCCATTGCAAAAACTGATAGAAATCATACTTTTGCATTGTTATTCTCATTTTAATAAATATGTAATTAAATGTATATGATGGTTTGATTCTCCTGATAATATAATTTACAAAAAACGAATAATTTAACACATTTTGCGTCTTTTTGCAATTTGGACGTTACGCCATACATTATGTCCATATTTCCAATAAAATGTAGAATAATTATTAAGCTCTAATTTATTGTTAATTATAAAATGTTCTTTATTCTTTAAATCTTGTCTCTTTTTCTCGTTCCTTTTAATTTGTTTCATTATGTGTAATCATCACTTATGTTAGTTGTAAACACTTTAGGTATCCTCTGTGGTAATTGATAATAAAACTGTAAAAAACTAAGAAAATAATCCATAATAATCACATTTTATTCGTCTGTTTTAACATCACAGGGACCAGTCATCGGCACGTGGTACAAAGTCCTGGACCGCCTGGTGGTTGGAGGAACTAAAAGTGCTGCCATGAAGAAAATGCTGGCTGACCAGGTGAGGAAAACAAACTTTAATCCCAATTAAAGGTCCCCTATTATACTGTTTTTCATCAATATATCACAGGTCTCAGATATATCCAGAGCCTGTCTCTGATTGGCTGAAACACCAAACAGATCATTGCAGCATTACCCATAATCCCCTCTGTTTCAGCCCTGTTTCCAAAGTGCTGATTCTCTGTCTGTTACTTTAGATGAAAATAAGGAGCCCCTCCCCACGCCCCTCTGAGAGAGATTGGTTAAAAAGAACTCAATGGTGCTCTAGGAGGAGATTCAGGTGATAAGGTGGGGGGGGGGGGGGGTTACCTTGGTTGCTGATTGGCTAATGGTTACACAAGCCAACACATCGTTATGACATCACAAAGTGGCCAAAATCTGATCAGCTCATTTTCAGACAGGTTTTTATAAAAATGGATCAGGACAAAAGAGAGAGAATCTTTGTTCCTGAAACTTTCAGAGTCTCTTTACACAGAGGGGACACGCACACCACACAACACACAACACACACACACACACACACACACACAACACACACACACACACACACCACACACACACACACACACACACTTCCCACTGGACTGAAACCCCTCCTAACACCTAGCTTTAGTCTTAATGAGAAAGGATACAATCTGTATTTATACCTGAGACAAATGACTATCTTTTACAAAGATAATATGTAATAACAAACATAATTTAAATCCTTGCGAATGATGGCAGAACAGAAAGAGCTCTAAACACTTCTTTGAGGGTTTCCAATAATACAAACTAGTATTTTAGTAAATGTATAATATATGTAATGTCTTCTCATCTCTTACATATATTTATATTTTTAATTGTATTATTATTTCAAATGTTCTATGTTTACCTAAACTTTAGACCTTTGTATCTACATGTAGGGCATATTTTTGGTCACTTATAAAAAAACAACTATATTTATTCAGGCCTCCAGATTTACATTGAACTTTTAAAAAATGTTGATTTTTCTTTAATTTATTTCCTTATTTTTTTAATATAAAATACACTTTTAAGACGTATTAAAATGCTACATCTCTGATTGTCTTCTATAGATGAAGACACCGGGGTGGAAACACTAAGATCAATCAAAGGCCTGCTGTAGTGTTTCTCCCTCTGTTTGATTCAGCAGAACAAATGCATCTTAAAGTGAAACACCACAGAAGAAGAGCGGGCAGAGCGTTCAACATGCTGAAATATTTACTGGAGCTAAGGGTCCGCTGCTCCGCCTGAATAGAGATGCGTCCCTCAATAATAACTCAAGTGTTGTTGGAGATGTGAGCGAAGCATCTGCTGCGTCAGACTTAAATATCAGCTGCACGTCACTGGAGCTCCAACGTTAGCCTGGGAGGGGTTTCACTTTATCTTTGAGCTTCTTAGAGTATAATTAAGTCCACAGTTCTTTGTTCATGTCAAGTTCTTCCGGGTTTTGGCCTGTATTCAGTGTTTTGCCCGAACTTGAGAGGCTGGAGGGCAACAGAGGACGCTTGGACAACTCAGATTCTTTATTTTGTGTCTATGTTCTGCTCAGTAGTTCTTTATAAGACACTTTGCATTCGTTTCAGACTTGGCATCAGATTCTCATCACGTTGAAAACCTTCAAAACACAAGAGGACAAACAAATGTTAGTTCACATGCAAATACAATTATGAACATTTTGTCACATTCCTGCCTTTTCAGGGTATTATAATTCAAATGATAAATTGTGAGTTATTTTACAAACACATCATTAACTTAAATAAATTAATAAGAAGTATCTTTCTCTACTTGAAACCAAGCAACCCAGAAAACCTCACTGAACACCGTCTGCGCTGTCTACAAATATACACCAAACTAAACGGAGCGCACACAAACCACGCTGCGTAAAAGCCGTCGATTGCGCAACAGCACTCTCACACAATAAGGCAACAGATCAAGAACGCAAAACGCAATACACAACGGAGAAACATACCAATGGATGTTTCTCAATGTCGAGGACGCTTCCTTGGTAGCACATGTCTTCCGAGTCAGGTCCATGAGAGGCGAGGCAAGAATCCTTCCTGGCATTCGGAGAACGAAGAATGGAACAGGCTAGCAGGTGTGTAGGTGTGCGTCATAATGAGAGGCCCCCACCTACATTTTCCGCCAATGATTTGGAAATTGGTCCGTGCGCAAAGCATTGTGGGGATTTTAAGACCGCGGAGGATACACATGTGCAGCCTCGAAATTTCCCGCAACGAAGGGACGCCGGCCTCGGTAGATTCCAAGGATCCTGGACATTGGAACAGTCCTTTTGGCGGGACTCGATGACGTAGCATCCTTGAAATAGTGGCTCTGGAGCAGCCTTCCTCGACATTGAGAAACACCCACCCACTGTCGCCAACTTCTCCTCCTCCGTGCTTTGGGAACAAGAGCTTTTTTGTTGCCGTGTTACCGGAAGCGGCATTAATATTTTGTAATAACAGCTCGCTTATCATTCAGAAAAAGTAGCCTACGCTATTCAAAATAAAACGAATACCCCTATTGGTATTGAACAATACTATAATAATAATAATAATAATCTAAACGAAAATACATCAAAATAATTATTTATCCGTCCGTTTTTATCAGATATTACGTCTCGTTCATGCATCAAATCTTCCTGTATCTTCTCCTGTAGTCTTAATGTACGGAGGGTGCATATCAAGCTGGTTTATTCTCTTTGGTCTGACAACATTTATTCCATCTGGCAAATGAAGTGAAGCTTCATTTTCTTTTTACTTTGATTTTAAAATGTTGGCTGATTTAAAATCTTCAGTTTTCACAAAGCCCCCCCAAAAGATTAACTCTCAATCAAACCATAAAAGAAGCACCAATGTAGAACATATTCATACCTAAGAAGGGTTATCAAATCTTATTACGTTAACAAATGTTCACGCATCTGCTGTGATAAAACAACTTAACAATTTTGATGTTTTTACATTTATTCCAAACTGCATCAAATGAATGTTTGATTAAGTTTATCATAACTCTAATTACAAATGTAAAGGCTGTGTTGACATTAGTTTAAAACACACAGCTTGTTGACTTATACGTACTGTAGCGCTGGAAAATCTGCTGCTCCAAAAACAAGTTACACATTAATGAAAACAAGCTGTTTTCACTTGAAATAAGTTCAAAAATCTGCCAAAAGAACAAGTGAACATTAGCTTGGTAAGATTTCTTGAAATGAGAAGAGATATTTAGATAAATCACATCTTGTAATTAGCTGGAGAACTCATTTTGAACTATATTTGACCAGAATCAGGAGATGTTGTGTTACAATATAATCCGCAAATGCTCAAAGGTGTTCTGTGTTCTGATGTTAGCTGGTGATTCTTTAATAAATATGTAAAGAAACATGTGTTTCATCTGAGATACAACTCAAAATAAGATTTCTTTACTTAACAAGATGATGCATTGTCTAAAAACAAGACCCGATATCTCACTGCAGTGTTACTCCTGAAGTTATTATGTCTTATATCAGGTGTAGCGACACATTCTGACTAGATATTAGACAAAGATACTTGGCAAGATTTCGATTGTTGGTAGTGAGTATCCACATGTATCTGCTATTTTGAGATGTTTATATTGTATAATTGTTTATTTTCTACCCTTTTTTTTATTATTTCAAATGATGTGCTACTGTATGCTTGATTTACATGCTGCTGCAACGGAAAAACGTCCCCATTTGGGATTAATAAAGTATATCTGATCTTAATTCTCTCATTCCCAGTAACACACTGAAGTGATTGATTGTGTTCTGAACTTCTTGTCCTCTGTGTTGCAGTTGTGTTTTGCCCCGTGTTTCCTCGGAGCGTTTATCTCGATCTCTGGTGCTCTGAACGGCCTGACGCTGGAGGACAATGTCACCAGACTGAAGAGGGTGAGGTTATTCACATCACGTTTATTTCAGCGTTACTCCGCCTGCGTCACAGCGAACACTCCTCACACCCTGCGTGTGTGAGTTTCCACAGCAACTCTTTATTAAGAACTCTAAGTGTCTGGAATACGCAGGATGCAGAAATAGTCTCTAACCTTGCTTTGTGTTATCCTCACATGAGTGTCCTAGGTTGAATTGTTTGAAACATCTGGGGCATGTGCGTGTGTGGATTGGGGTCAGTTTTACTCAAAAACGTTGACGTAAATTTTCTTTCCACCAGAGGTCAAAAGTTCAGTTTTTGACCCGGTACTGTCCTCGGCTTATTTCAAATTCATGATTGTTATTTAAAGGCACAAGGAGGAGGAGGAGGAGGAGGATGCTTGCTCTGCTTGAAGAAGGGTTTGGACATAAAATATCACTGAAAAGATGCTAAAATATTAAACAATAAAATCAAAAAACAATAGATTATTTTATTAAGCTACCAGATTTAGATTGAACGTTTTCTTTAATGTATTGTTTTTATATAAATACACTTTTCTAAGTAGGAAATGTTTTCTCCCTTACCTCAAGACTTGGTGATATCATTGGCTCTTCTTTCATTCTGATTTGACTGGATTGTATTCTATATTTAAACCTGAGACTCGACTCAAGCTGGCTGGATTTCATCCTGGCATTTGACCTGTGTGATCAGAGTCCAGGTAGATGAGCGTACACACACACACACACACACACACACACACACACACACACACACACAGCTTGTTTTTATCTGCCCTCACACACTCACCTCTCATTATTATTAGAAGCCATTTCCTGTGATGGAGGACAAGGAGACTGTGGAAATAGCTGGAGTGACTCATACCATCATATATAAATGTGTGCGTGTGTGTGTGTGTGTGTGTGTGTGTGTGTGTGTTTGTATGCCAGGTCGTTGTGTGCCAGCTGCTCAAACGTCCGTCCCGCCTTGCTTACCCAGCGCAGCATCAATTATTTACCAAAGGAGGCGCGGTGTTGGACCAGAAAGGCCAAACTGGTAAATGTCAGAAAGGACAGAAAGTAAATGACGAATGCGCTCATTACAAACAGAGCACCTGGCCGGGGAAATGTGAGTGGAAACTCAATGGAGACGCTCTCAAAAAGAAAGTTAAACTAGGGTGCAGCAAGACTTCTGCCTTTCTTCTTACTTTCCTGAACGCTGTCTTCAGATTTGACCTTAAAGAAAGCGAAGACCTACACGCGATACCAACAGTTTTATACTTCATACTAGTGTTGTAGTACTCGAAACCGGGCTTGGTCTCAACCTCTTAAAGTCTTGGTCTTGACTTGGTCTCGACCTCTTAAAGTCTTGGTCTTGACTTGGTCTCTACCTCTTAAAGTCTTGGTCTTGACTTGGTCTCGACCTCTTAAAGTCTTGGTCTTAACTTGGTCTCTACCTCTTAAAGTCTTGATCTTGACTTGGTCTCGACCTCTTAAAGTCTTGATCTTGACTTGGTCTCGACCTCTTAAAGTCTTGGTCTTGACTTGGTCTCTACCTCTTAAAGTCTTGGTCTTGACTTGGTCTCTACCTCTTAAAGTCTTGGTCTTGACTTGGTCTCGACCTCTTAAAGTCTTGGTCTTAACTTGGTCTCTACCTCTTAAAGTCTTGATCTTGACTTGGTCTCGACCTCTTAAAGTCTTGATCTTGACTTAGTCTCTACCTCTTAAAGTCTTGATCTTGACTTGGTCTCGACCTCTTAAAGTCTTGGTCTTGACTTGGTCTCTACCTCTTAAAGTCTTGGTCTTGACTTGGTCTCTACCTCTTAAAGTCTTGGTCTTGACTTGGTCTCTACCTCTTAAAGTCTTGGTCTTGACTTGGTCTCTACCTCTTAAAGTCTTGATCTTGACTTGGTCTCTACCTCTTAAAGTCTTGGTCTTGACTTGGTCTCTACCTCTTAAAGTCTTGGTCTTGACTTGGTCTCTACCTCTTAAAGTCTTGATCTTGACTTGGTCTCTACCTCTTAAAGTCTTGGTCTTGACTTGGTCTCGACCTCTTAAAGTCTTGGTCTTGAGTTGGTCTCTACCTCTTAAAGTCTTGGTCTTGACTTGGTCTCTACCTCTTAAAGTCTTGGTCTTGACTTGGTCTCGACCTCTTAAAGTCTTGATCTTGACTTGGTCTCGACCTCTTAAAGTCTTGGTCTTGTCTTGGTCTCGACCTCTTAACCTGTTAAGCCCCAAGCCTGTTTTTACTAGACTCCTGGTACTAGGATGGGCTAAATGCATAGAACACATGTCACTGTGTGTGCTGTGTGCTCTGCATGTGTGACCATTACAGAGGGGTTCATCACTCCCAATTCTATTCTAATTCTATTCTATCGTCCCCTCTCTGTCCCCTTTTCAAGTGTAGATGCATTTATCTAATAAGACAAGAAACATCAGACAAGAAATCCTTGAATCTAGTCTAATTTAGGACGTAGGATGGCAAAAAAACAAATCATTATAACTGTAAAAAAGCATTTAACTTCCTTTTTGATTAAGTTTAATTGGCAGCAGTTTGTGATTGACATCTAAGACACTGAAGTGAAATACCTTCTTGTTTACTGCAAAGTATTCATACTGCGTAGAAACCCCTGGAAGATCTGAGAAACATCCCGTCTTCTGCAGAGTGTGTGAGGAACCGTTTTGACGTGTTTGTGTGTGTGACGCAGCGATCACCTCAGGTGGCCCAGCAGCTTGTTTGGCCTTAATTAGAAAACAAAAAAAATATTAAGACTGGAACATTGGCTCGTTGTTTTTATATGTCGAGTCATGTTGATGTGACCTTTAGGTAGAGGACATGGGAAAGTTTGTGTGTGCGTGTGTGTAAATATATAAAAGGTATATGTGTGTTTTTATACCCAAACAACTCTCACACACACCTTTTGCATTTACTGTGGAGTTTAAGGTCAGCATCTAACACCCTTTGTTCCATTATTAGCCAACAACTTGTATAGATTATTACACTTAAAGGAGCTTTACTAGATTACAGTAAGACTCATTTATTTACGTACGTTCTATTCTTATCATTTTATATATTTGCTTATTTTTCAGCGTTGTTGGGCCACATTAACACTTTTTCTAGTTTAAATCTCTTCCTGTCACCTTCACATGATTTAAGTACCAACATTATGATAATAAGCGTGTGATTAATGTTGGGGTTTATTTTGCAACTCAAAGGGAAATTGTAGAGTTTTTACCCGTCAAGTATGTGAGCTTAAATGACTTAAATCCGTGTATATGCATTATGTTTTACAGTTATATTTATCTACCATAATGCAGGTTTTAAAGCATTAAATACACACTTTTTTTTAATGTTTCAGAACCATGGACAGAGACAGAAGCTTTGTCAATTAGTAGTTTTTTTTATCAGCCAGCAGAAAATGTAGATTTTGCACCCTTTTTTCATCTTCATTAAGTAAAATAAAGACTTCCCATACCCCACAATGACTCTTATATACTGTATCTACAGGGGGCTGATGAAGATGTCCATCACTACCAATAACTCAACCATTATTTGGCCATGTGCTGATATTTTTGGCTCTAAAACGTCATTGTTTTTGGAAAGAAACTCCACACCACCTTGAGCTTGAACACATCACCATCTCTCACTCCACACACCTGCAGGTTAACGGTTCTCTGAGGGAAGGTGTTGGAGGGCTGAACCTGAACTCGGCACGGGGCAGGAAGTTCTAATGTGTATCTGCAGATATTTTCTATCCAAACTCAGAAACTTCTCACCAAAAGTGTTAAGCATTCAGAGAGAAATCTGATGTATGCTATAAGGACATTGAAAACCTTTAAAAATGAAGGTAAACTTTTGCATTTAAAGTGCAAAATACTGGGATTTCTTCCATCTTCAGACAGCAGCACAATATTTTCTTCACATCTCTTACGCACTTGTTCAGGAGACTTTTTCGAAAGGTGTGACTAGTTCCTAATTTTCTCATGATGCCTTTTCACTTGACACCTGAGAGCAGGTTTTGCCAAAGAGCTGTGAAACAGACGTCATTCATTGAAAGACAACTGAGAGGTTCAGAGTTTATTAAACCCTACTCAATGTTCTCCCTATTTCAAATACAATGGACCTTGAAGAGTATAATCACCTGCTGTTTTTAAATCTACTCTTAAGACACACTTCTTCTCCCTGGCCTTTTAGTCAGAGCGGAGCACGACTCCTGACTTCTCCCTGTGTTTTCTTTTTAAATATCTGTTGTAATTTATTGTCTTTTATTGTGATTATAGAAATGTGTTTTTATGTGATTGTAGTTATTACATGTACAGCACTTTGGCCCGACCAAAAATCGCTTTTAAATGTGCTTTATAAATAAACCTTGATTTGATTTGCTGCAGATTTGTGATTGTGACTTTGTAACTGCTTTTAATGCTTAAATACATCAGCTTTCTCTTAAATATTCTGTGTTGTTAAGAGCTACTTTTAGAGTGTGGATTTTGGTTTAACATAATATAACAGTGACTCATTACAGTGCCCATTACAATACAGTATGTGTTCCTTGTTCACAGGACTACCCAGACGCCCTCATCTCAAATTACTATGTAAGTGTTTCCTGTAAATTCACCATTTGACTGACTCAAATGTTCCCTCGACTTCATGTTGTGCATCAGATTGTCTTCTCAATATTTTCTGTTTTTCAGCTTTGGCCCGCAGTCCAGATTGCCAATTTCTACTTCATTCCACTTCACCACAGGTCAGAGTTCATATATATTTGATCATACAATGTGACTATTCAATGCATTTAGTTTAGCTGCTCAGGTGTTTCTTTTCGGTGGTTTGCATGTCATGTTCATTTGTTCTGTTTTAACTTGTTATTTCTGCACAGATAAAGATAACATTACATTTCATTTAGCTGACGCTTTTATCCAAAGCGACTTACAGGGACATTCTCCCTGGAGTAACTGAGGGCTAAGTGCCTTACTCAAGGGCTCACTAGTGGTGCTGTTCCTGGCGGGATTTGAACTCACAACCTTCCGATCTTCAGCCCACCTCACTATCCATTAGACCACCACTATCCCATATAGACTAGACTATTAGCATTAGATTCAAGTGGAGGCTGTGTTGCTTCTTACTCAAACATCTCCAATAATTCTTGAGCGTTGTAAAGTCCAAAATAGGATTTATTATAAAAAAGACCCACTTTTTTCATTGGATAAATCACTTTTTTTTTCAAATTGTGGATTTTGTGTGGGATATTTCTCTAATTAAATCATATTTCCTTTCAGGATGGCTGTGGTGCAGATAGTCGCTGTCGCCTGGAACTCCTATCTGACCTGGAAGGTGAACAAGATGTGAACAAGATGTGAACCACAAGTCCAGCTGTCTACATGATGATGATGATGATGATGATGATGATGATGATAATACACTCATTTGTAGTGTGTCTGTGTGTCTGTGTGTGTGACGTGGTCTAACTTAGTTCTGCTGATATTTCCAAAGTGTAAAACTGTGACTAACTCATTATAAAGGTCGGGAGAAAGTGCTTGTCTACTCTGAATGACACATTCACACTTGAAAGTCAAACGTTGCATAAATGTCTGTGAAAGTTTGTTATTTATGGCAGTGGTGTAGCCACACGTACGCACAATAACACACACACACACACACACACACACACACATTCACAGCCTCTGCTTACAAAATAACAATTTTCTAACCTCTAATTCAACAATCGCTTAATCATTTTGTGTTGGGATGAAGAAGATTTATTTGAGTTTACATACTGTAAATATAATAAAAGTTGCAATTTTCTTACAATTCTGGTTTCTTGACTTGACTGTGGGGAAAGCTTTAAAAAAATGAACTCTGTCTCTGGAAAGATGCTCTTGTTTCACAGATCAATGCTGAAGGAAAGCTGATCATAATTGTGAGTTGAAACCACTTTAAGCCGTACATGTAGCCCTGAATGTTGAAGTGGTTGACCGGGGGGGGGGGGGGGGGGGGGGGGGGGGGGCTACTGCGGAGCGCATAAAGCAAACTCTTCATGCTAACGAAGGATCACTTCTTCAGGGCAGGGAAGGCTACGCAGTACGCAGGCTAACGCACTAACCACTCCACCAGCGCCACAGCGCGTGCCGGATGAGAATGTCTGGCAGATTTGGGCCGCGGGCCGCCAGTTGATGGTCACTGGTGTAGTGGCTTTACCTAGTGTTGGCTCAGTCAGGCCCGTAACCAGGATCCATGGGTACAAGTCCGGACTGCGGCTGTTTGTTGATACATTGATGTTGTCTTCTGTTTGCTTTAATGTAGGCTACTTCGTTATGCATTGCCCAGTAAATGGAAGTACTACAAAGAACCCTGTTATTGTTACTGTTATGTGCAGTTATTTCACGAGTTTTATTATAAACACCTCGAAAAGATTACAGAGGTCCGGACCTCGGTAACCTCAATGGTGGGTACGGCCATGGGCTCAGTGATATACTATAATACATAAATAGTCAGTCAGTACCTCTTGGTCTAAAAAACGAAATAGAGCCATGAATCCATCAGTGCATAGACCATCTCTGTTGAAATGTACATTTTTTCCTTCATTTTAATATGTAAAGTCTCTTTTCTACTGAAAATGTGCACATTTATAACAACAAAGGCCCTAGAAGCTAATAAAGTTTGTTGTTGACGGTGACTTTGACCTCGCTGACTCTCTGGTTTGTTTGGAGGCTGCTGAGCGGCTGTCAGCCAAATGAACCGCTCTCATTGTTTCCCCACACAAACACATCTATATCGGTCGGGAAAGCAAGCACAAATCCTCTGAATGAATTCATAGAAAATCTGCCAAATATCCTCACGCCGTCCCTCTATTTGTGGAAATCTGGAATCTGTTTTTGAATCAGCACCAAGCCTCGCTGTGTTTTCTAATTAAAACCGGAGTGATTAAATGAAAATACAGTACATATTCTTGTCAGCACTCTTGCTTGTATATGAGGAGTCTCAAAAGGTGATCTGTGTTTTTAGTCCAGATAACAGGAGACTCAATGTTGGGTTTGAACGGACTTTTGATCACCATGATTTTCTTTGTTAAGAATGTACCCTAACAAATAGATTAGTGGCTTTTTCTGTAAATGTGCATGTTCACATATGCATCAGGAAGTCCTATATATTCACTTTCCTCCCTTATGAAGGGTCAACTAAGAAGCTTTGCCTTCATTTCCGACTAAAAAGTGTGGTTTTTGGTGGGTTTTTTCAGAACAAGTAACAATAACATCCACTTTTTTTCCCAAAAGCGTTGCGAAAAACTAGGATATTGAACTCCTACGGTAGCTGAGTCTGCGTAAAATGAGAAAAACTTCTGATTTTGATCACTTATAAATAATATTCACCAATAGTTGTATCAATTAGAGAATATACGGAATGGGTTTTAAGATAAGATGTACTTTATTAATCCCAATTTGAGAAACAAATGTGTAATATTACTTTGATTATACTAGAGTAGTTTAAAAGTGAATTGCTTATGTGGCTTTCTGGCAGGTTGGATTTTGGGGGCTAATATGTAAACACTTCATAAACTGTTCTTATCAGCATGTAATATATAACTCATCACCAAGTGTGTGACACAGAAACAGCAGCACCATGGACAGCTCCCAGATTCATTCACTTTTACAGTTAAAAGGGATGTTAGTCTTTTACACAGCAGTGATTCATTCTATTTGCATGGCTGCTTGGAGATTATGAGATCTAACCTTGCAGTAGGTCATATGTTCTAACACGTGTCATATCTATGTGGAAAAAGGGCTTTAACAGATCTTCAAAGACCGAGCTTTTAATCCTTAATTTGTCACTTTAACTACACTTAAAAAACGCCTTTAATTTACTGTAGGGGTGATCAGACTCCAGTTTACACTAAAGACTCAATTCAATTTCCAAAAAAACGTATTAATCTTCCATGTGGCAATTATCTGATGCATGAGGTTGGAAACACATAATGTTCAAAAAATCAATATCACAAGTCTAATTTGGAATATCTAACACCCAACACATTGTATTGGTGATCCCTGAAAACGTGTTGAACTTTCTAAAGGAACCCCCCTCCTCAAAGCCCGCCTGTATCCTCCTCTTGCCCCCCTGTATCCTCCCTTATATGGGGAACTAAACCTGTAAAAGATACCCCCCCCCCCCCCCTCCTTCCCCTGCTGTCCCTCAGGACTCTCGATATTTGTCCATGTTTCCAAAGTGGTGTCTGAGCTTTCATTGACGTCAAAAGCTTCAGGCTGGATGTATAAAGCCTTCATCCTGCGGTCTTAGCTCACAGGAACTCTGCAGACTCCGACCCGAGACCCACAAAGTTCAGCTGCAGCTTCTGGAGACACTGAAGTGAGTACAGCGGCTCCTATTCACTCTTTGCTTTTAATCAAAGTTTGAAGAATTGGACGTTATTGATGAAATGAGAAGATGGCAGGAACAATACAGTGCAGCCAGATCGTCAGCTAAGCTTGTGTCCTTTTATAAATCCTCTATTCATTTGCTTATTCTTATGTGAACTCTTTTAAATGTAGAAGCCTTTTTGTGTTGTTGTGATGCTCTTTAGTCAAGTGTAACCCTGTCAAAGTTCCTGCCAATATCGTATTTTGTTTCTTTGTGTTTCTTGCATGAAAAGCGTTTGTGTTATCGACAATGCACAAGATAACATCATAGGCTACTTAAAAAAACATGGATAAGCTGTCATTACACAGTGCTTATGTACAATTTACAAGGTTTTGCAAAGGACTATAGTAGTTATAATCACCCTGAATGCTATTACAATTCAAAAAAGAGTAAATGTTTTGTTTTACAGGGTTCGCATTTGTAGTTTAGTTCGTTTGTGCATGCATTTCAAACTGTATGCAAAAAGTGCGATACAAAAATGTTGTTTGTGGATTATTCCCCTGCTTCTGTAATACAGTGTGTGTACGTTGTGTTAATAACCCCCTCTGTCTGCAGGACATGAAGCCGGTGCCCCTGCTCCTGCTCCTCTCCTCGGTCCTCCTCTCCTCGCACCTCCGCCCCGCTGCCGGCAGACCGCGCGTCCTCCCCGGCTGGCTGGATGGCAGCAGCCGCCTCCAGATGCAGCGCCTGGAGGAGTCTCTCCTCAGAGCAGCTATAGCCGGGGAAGCACCGCATCCTCGGATCTACTGGACGAGAACATCCTGCGGTTCCTGGAGAGCAGAAACCCGGACCCTCTGCACCTGCTGCCCGCTGAAGAAGGGGAGGTGAGGGCGGCGGTGCATCTGCTGAAGAGGAGCGAAGACCCCCCGCTGTCCATCGACCTCACCTTCCACCTGCTGAGGAATATGATCCAGATTGCGAAGGTGGAGAACCAGCGGGAGCAGGCGCTGCTGAACCGCAATCTGCTGGACGAGGTCGGGAAGTAATTACGCTCTATTTTTTTATTCTAAATGCCTCATTCCAAACAGCCAAAACAGCCGCTGTGTTAAATAATCAAGACTTTTGACATTAGTTGTTGTTTGTGTGCCTGCCTTCCTCTCCACCTCGCCAACATTTTACGTACAGATGGTGCCAATTTACGCATCACAGCATCCGCGCGTAAAATGGGTTTTCTTTAGTTTTCTTTAAAGACTTTTTGATGGAAAAGATGGAAACGGACCTTCCAGACCCTCTTACTCCCTCCTCACCCCTTCATCCCCCTGATCTCACCCTCAAACTCCTCACACACTGCTCTTTGCACTGGACTTTGGAAAGGGAAACTGGATTTCACATTTGAACACATTTGATCATTGATCGATGTTTTGATGCTTGAAGTGAAAATGACACCTGACCAAAATAAATGTAATTTATTTAATAATAGTTAATAATAGACTCTGTTTTGAATTGGTTGACCTCAGTGTGAATACATGGACCATTGTAATTAGTCCAGTTGTTTACCCCTGCAGCTAAACAAGTCTAATGTAAGGTGCATTGTGGGTAGTTGGCTTGTCACCAGACATAATTGATTGGATGCCTTGGAGAAACCTTTCGACGATATTAGAAAAATCTTCATACACCAACATAAGGATATCTTAAGTAACTTTACTCTGAGGAATTCAGACCTACTTTATGCATTTCCCAAATAATGTATTGCTAAATTATTACAAGTTAATCTTATATATTGTGATCCTTCAAATGGATACGGTTATATTCAAATGATTTAAATGACGATTCAAGTCATAATTACCCAATAATCTACTTTTAAAGTAAAGAAAACAAAACAGAAGCTCGGCAGGATGAGAAATCATAAAACCCCTGTCTATGGAAATCAGACACATCCATATTTCTGGTAGTTGGAGTTGGATGACACTTAATGTGAAGGCATGTGTAATGATGGATCTGAGGTGTAAGGAAAGACAAAACACTTTATTTTATTGGTTTTAAATCTACAGTTGTCATTTCTCCCCTTCCTTTAATCCTCTTGTCGGTCCTTTACGTTGAGCGGGAGCACGATCACATGTACTGTATGAGCTGTAGCATGCTAACCTACAACAAAAAGAAGAAAAAAAGCTTTTTTTATTTTACATTTATCATTTACGTCACTGAAAACATTGTTTTAGCAAAAGAAGAAGATTTTTTGCCATTTATATTTTGTAATAAAAAAGTTTGAAGTAAAAATCATTGTATTCTGTTATTGTGCCGAGTACAAAATACACATTTAGTGACTGATGTTGTGACTGCTTTAGTGTCATTCAGTGTTTTTCAACTTCTAAAAGGATCCTTAGTAAATATAATACTAAAAACTAAAAAAACACTGGAAGCAGAACATTTACCTTAAGATGCTATTTTTATCCGGCTCATCCATTGGTTCAACTTTTGTTCATTCAAAAATTAAGATTAAAATCTCTACACCTGCTTGCCAGATTTCCCCGGATATAGGTTTGGAAGACGAGGATGATTCCCAAAGAAAATGTTCTGCCTTTTATAGGTTTTTCAGTGCAAAGAAGGACAGTGATTGAGAGACAAGAGGAAGACATGTATTAAACATCACAAGTCAGACTGTTGACATTGCATAAATCCACCATTTAATTATTTGAATGACTTTCCTCCAAAGCCACACAGGGCTAACTTGATGTCTACTAGTAGGTATTTCCAATTTAAGACCAATGCAAAGAGCTCAGATTTAAGTAAACTTTTCCCTTTTCACTGTTTGTTGTGACGTTATCATGGCAACTGAAACATTGTTTAGGATGCACTAAGGTTGAACACTTAGACAGGATAAACTTTAATGTCCAAGTTGTTGAAACAGATACAGAAAGAGAGAGGAGAGAAACACCCACATGTCATAATGGCCTCTGAGTTCTTTGTTTCTGTGACTCAGTCCAAACTGTGGGTGTGTTGGTGATTGTTCTGCCTTATCACCCTGTGTGTGTGTGTGTGTGTGTGTGTGTGTGTGTGTGTGTGTGTGTGTGTGTGGTGTGTGTGTGTGTGTGTGTGTGTGTGTGTGTGTGTGTGTGTGTGTGTGTGTGTGTGTGTGTGTGTGTGTGTGTGTGTGTGTGTGTGTGTGGCCTAGCATTACCATACTTGTGGGGACCTAAATCTGTTTACACAGTAACGTGTGGGGACTCGCCTCCCTTATGGGGACATAATGGAGGTCCCCATAAGGGGAATCATTAATTTCAGGGTAAAGACTTGGTTAGGGTAAGGGTTAGGGTTAGGCATGTGTTGGTTATGGTTAAGGTTAGGATAAGTCTCCAGGAAATGCATGTAAGTCAATGTAATGTCCCCTGAAGTGATGTATACATGGTATGTGTGTGTGTGTGCGTGTGTGTGTAAACTCTGTGAATCTGCAGAGCGTTTGTCTTTAAAATCAAGTAATGTAATCCCTTGCTTATAAAATACTTCAATGTTATACAGCTGTTGCACGAAGACAAGTACAAATACAGTATGTCCACGTTTTTTTTTTATATTCTTGAATGTTTTACGAAATCCCAGGATGCAAACGTGTTTTCTCGCAGTAAAGGAGGCTACATCCTGATTTCTTTGCACTAAATTTCATCTCAATGCATCAAATATTAATTTTTCACATCTCTGTATGAAACATTACTATAACTGGGCAACATTCTGAGATTATAGGGACTATTTTCAGCAGCGGATTAATCTACATTTGTTGCTCTACTGAGTATTTACGGTGGCATCTCTCTTTTGTTTTTCAGACACCAATGGAGTCATACTGAAGAGGAATAAGATATATCACTTATTTGATACACAGGATTATTTTGTATTTGTGTTGTTTTCAATAAGAGAAAGACAGAATCTCTGCAGCCCCATCCTTTAAAGTGGACCTATCATGCTATATTTGAATAATATATTGTAGGGCCATACCTATATAAGGCATATTTATACTTTTTTTTTTCAAAATACCAAACAGATCATGCATTTTAGCCATGCCTCATGTTGCTCAATTTGACATTTTTTAGATCTGTTTTTGCAAGGGCTGATTCTGTGAGAACAGCACCATCTACAGGCCTGGCATATGTACTACAGCGTCTCCAGCGCTTTCGAACGGCAATGGCCGTGGCTGTCTCCTCCTGATTGGTGGAGTTGGCCCAATAGCCGTAGCGCCACCGTCCTGACGTCAGGACAGTGTTCAAATCTAGATCAGTTTTGATCAGATCCGTTGCAGCCCCTTTTTTAGAGATTTGGGTATGGAGGAAAATAGAGAGGGTTGTGTTTTCTGACACTTGGTGAGTTCCCTGGAACACCGGGGACACATATTCATGTATAAAAGACGTACAAAAGTGCATTTTGCATGATAGGTCCCCTTTAACATAGCAGTCATGACAAAACGTTGCAGAACCTCAAATATAGAGATGGGAAATCTGTTAATATACACATGGATCGTTTTCAAACAACCCCCCACAGTCCAACACACAGAAAGACAATCATTTGTAATAATAAAAAGCTTATCTGCCCCCTCATTCAGCTTTACATCCTGCTTACTGGTATTCTCCTTCTCCTGTGTTATGCACAGTGGCCGGCAGGTGCACCGCGTCACTGCCTTTCAAAAAGAACCATGTTTTTTTCATTGACAAAAAAGTTCAGAGAAAAAACGACAAAGCTTAATCTCAAAGAAACCTCTTCAACGATCGGCTTTAATCCCCACATTTATTTTTGTTACATCTAAAAACATACATAAAGCTGTGGTATTTACGGAAGCCTTTTGTGACAGAAAGTTATATAAGGGCTTTGAATCCTGTAGAAAAGGACACACATGAACACGCGTCTTTTGACAGTCGTAAATCCACCGTATACATTTCCGGAGGGGGATATATTTAAACACAATACACTGATTCTTTAATTTATTTTAAAGCACATAAGGCAACATTGTGGGAGACTAAAATCCGACCAAGTCCATCTGCTGGCATGCCGCCTTCTGAGGGAGGAAACACGGATGCAGAATGTATGGAAAGGTATGTTTCTGTCAATTATTTACATTTCTTTTTCTCCGTGTTGTTCCATGTGGCTGCTGGATTCCCTCTTGAGGATTATGGGCTATTTCCGTCTCTTTTTTTCTACATTTTCTTGCAGAGAGGACCTCGAGTAACGGAAACAAAGGATGAAATATCATGAGATCAGTGTCACCGTCCCACGCTAAAAACAATCACAGTGCCTCTCCAGCTGCTCGGCCTAAAGTCTCAGCTCTGAGGAGGAGGAGGAGGAGGAGGAGGAGGAGGAGGAGGAGGAGGAGGAGGAGGAGGATGCTGTTGTTGTTGTTGAGTCAGCATGAAGACACTTCCTCGGAGGATGAGGGGAATCCTTCGTCCTCTTGCAGCTCTCTTTTACGTAAGTGGTCTTCACACATCCCCTCTGTTCGACACTCTGCTGCTGACTTCAAACTGTGTTCATTTACAACCATGACAATTCTTCAGCAGAGACACAAGAACATCTATAAACAGGCTCTGACACATCGGCACCGCTTCAGTTTCTGCCGTCAGGGCACAGATTCATTTTGCATCTTCAGAAAGTTGTGTATCTGCAGCGTGTTTATTAAAAGACTTTAACCGTTATGCCTCACTAAAGACGTTTGTGTCTTTTTAAAGGACCACAGATTAATAAGTGCAGTGTGCAGAGCAGGACAATAACTCAGAGAGAACTTGTTAGTTTTATTAAGAATTTCAGAACAACATGCGGGTACATATTTTAAAAAGTCATTAATTATACTGCATTAGAGTTCATTTAGACCAGGGGTCTCCAACCTTTTTTAGGGTGAGGGCTACTTTCAAAAAATAAAACAAGTCGTGAGCTACTTTTACTCCTCTTTTTTTTGTTTTTTGCAGTGTATATAATTAGCACATTTTAACATTATTATATGCTGACCTTTAACCTTTGTGTGCTGTTTGGGTCTGTGGGACCTGTTTTCAGTGTTTACTAAAAGAAAATGTAATGTATTCAATTTAATTATTTTAACCTGCTTTATTTGGGGGTGGACCTCACCTCCTCTAGGGGGGTCCTCACCTCCTCCAGGGGGGTCCTGACATACTCTAGGGGGGTCCTCACCTCCTCTAGGGGGGTCCTCACCTCCTCCAGGGGGGTCCTGACATACTCTAGGGGGGTCCTCACCTCCTCTAGGGGGGTCCTCACCTCCTCCAGGGGGGTCCTGACATACTCTAGGGGGGTCCTCACCTCCTCTAGGGGGGTCCTCACCTCCTCCAGGGGGGGTCCTGACATACTCTAGGGGGGTCCTCACCTCCTCTAGGGGGGTCCTCACCTCCTCTAGGGGGGTCCTCACCTCCTCTAGGGGGGTCCTGACATACTCTAGGGGGGTCCTCACCTCCT